ATACTATACTGTAAAATTTCCTTCGTAATTACAACTTTAGTCCTGTTTTTATTATTCAGCATATCACTCACTATTACATGAATTTTTCAGTTGAAAAAATAAATGAAAATTCATTCCGTTTTTGAAAGCCTTATTTGAGTATAGTGGTATTACATTAGTTTATTTTTTAAAAAAATAGATCTAGCCCCATTTTTTTATATTCATGCAAATTATTTCTTAAAACACCTCCAGTTAATTTCTGCGGCTAATCTGAGATAAATACAAAGATTGTGTTTTCAATGGAATTCATAGCACCTCATGTATCCGAAATGAGGGGTGTCCGGTCATTAATGGCCAGATAGTGTATGTCGCATCAACTTGGTTCATGATCCCTTTTGTAAATTGTGCGACATCCACGAGGTAATGGACTTGTCTCACCGGTCTAGGTGTCCTGCTCTCCCTCGGAAATCTATCTGGGAATGCTACTAGATTGCTCGCTCTTATTTATAGATTCTGATTTTCAATTGTCTTTTAATGTGTAATTGGAAATTAAAAAAAATGCATTTATATATAGTGAGAAGGTTTAGTTCTGGTGACTCTTATAGTTTAAAAAAATAATTTATATCTTTGAAAAATCTAAGCATGTATCCCATACATTTATATGTTTGATAACTAAATAAAAGAAATTAACCTTTTTAGTACCGAGAAGTTAAAGAAAATAATATTTGGTATTTCTCCATCAGTTATTAATGTTGATATTTTATGCAGTTATCAGCAATGGAAGTTTTCCTGGAATCAGCAGAAAAGGAGTGTACGCCGATTATCTAAGTAAGTCTATGATCCATTTTAGTAATATTTTCGTTTTTTCTTTTTGACATTTTGTGTCTTTTGCATATAATTCGCAATTTTTATTTTGGATGCTCCCTATGTTTCGAACTCTTTTAAAACTGATACAGTAATAGAGTTATAGGTATTTCCTTTAAAATTATATCTGACTGAAGGACCATTCGTTATCGTCTAACCAATCTTAATCTACTATTTACAGATGAAAAGTTGTAAATTTAAAATGAATAGTATATGAATTGGAATAGGTAGCCAACTCTTAAAAAAGCCTATTGTGACTAATCTACTCGAATTAAATCTTGTACAGTTGAATAAAAAAGATTTTTTCCTTCTCTTTGTGTAGAATATTTATGCTGTGAAATGTTTATTTTACAATATAGTGAATTCTCCAGGAAAGACCACCTCTTTGCAACGTCCTTCTCTACTTACGACCACTTTTGGGAACAACGGAATTTTTTCCATGGACATTGTGTTGAAAAAAAAACTTTGGGAGATACGGGATTTTATCCATGGACATTGTGTTGAAATAAAGCCTTTGGGAGGTACGGGATTTTTTCCATGGACATTGTGTTGAAAAAAAAAAACCTTTGGGAGGTACGGGATTTTATCTATGGACATTGTGTTGAAATAAAGCCTTTGGGAGGTACGGGATTTTTTCAATGGACATTGTGTTGAAAATAAACCTTTGGGAGGTACTGGATTTTTCGATGGGCATTGTGTTGAAAAAAAACCTTTGGGAGGTACGGGATTTTTTCCATGGACATTGTGTTGAAAGAAACCTTTATGAGAGACCATCAAAATCTCTCTCAGCAATCGTGCAAACCTGCACACCAAATGCGGAAAAGGTTAAATAAGGAAGCACATTAAAAATACCAAAACAAGAAATGCTAACAGTAGATTAAAATGTATTCAAAATGTTTTTGTGAGGCTCTTATTTAGAGAGTTGTTTTTGACGATCTCAGAAAGAGATCTACGACATTTTGCTGCAGGCAGAGTGTGCTAATGAGAATGCTATCAATTATTTATTTGTAGAATTGAAAGTTAAATTAGAAAAGAACAGTTATTTTAGAAAAAAAACTAAGCATCTCAAAGAAACGAATTTCAAAGCTAGCTAATTTTTGTGCTTTAAAATTAAATGCAAACCTAAACGAAAAACATAATTATTTATGACAAATAGTTCGAACTTTCCTTATTGGGAAATTTATTTTTGCACATAATTTCGTCAGTAGGTATCATTTTTACTGACGCTAAAGTTTTCATCTATTCGGTTTTAATCACGTCAATATGAGCGTCACTTCCACACCAAGAAAATGACAAAGATTAAAATTAAAATCGTTTTCGAAAACTCATGTACAAAAAATTGTTTAGTCAATGAAGATAACTCCTCAGAGCTACTTAACCTCTTTTTAGCTACTTTTAATGTAGCAAATTTTTTTGTTGTAAAAAATATAAATGTTTAATAACTCATATTGTCTACATAGTTAAAACATGATAGGGTGCTTATTCAAACTCCATAAGAGTATGTTTCTTAGAAATATAGCTATTTACTACTACTTTTTCTGTGTATTTAGGAATATGAGAGACACGTGGTAGTTTCATATACGTTTAGAAAAATGGAACAGTCGTGGATGTTTCGTATTTCTGAAATGCAAAGGTTTTGAAAGATCTTAAACATTTTATTTGACTATATTTCTATTGTCTGAAAGTATATAAATCTGTTGTTGTGTTTCTATTGAAAATTAAACGAGACAAGATTGTCAGCGATCGGTGTTTCGTGAATTTAGTCAGGAAAGTGCACTTTTCGCTTGACGAGAGAGCGCCGAAAGGGGGAAAGTTCGATGTAGCTCAACCACTCATGAAGCCATTTTCTCAATTTAGACATATATCGGAAGGGGAAGACGATTTCCCCCAGATCCATGTACCCAAGCAGTGACCGATTCCTCAGATTTTACGAACACCTATATATGGCATGTACTCGGCTGAGGATAGGATCAGCGTCCGATTCTCAGTGACTCTGCTAACTCCGGCCTGGCATGAATGGGAATTAAAAATAGGACATTATGAACTAGTAAAATGTAAGATTCAGAAAAAAAATTATTATAAAAGTTTTACTTTCACTTTATAGGAGAGAACAATTGTGGGTATATTGATTCTAGCTGTGCAAAGAGGATAATAAAACACAGGAATCATAGTTAAATTTCATCAATATATTAACGTAAAATCTAGGTTTCTATGTTAGTTTGTAGTATGATGTTTAGAGTTCAATGAAATGTAGAAACATTATAAATAATAGAGGAATAAAACATAAAACTTAATCAGCCAATACCGAAGCGAGATTTGTGGTTTCTTCTGTTGACAAAAGAAAAACCGAAGGATAAGCATAATTATCACATCTAAACATTAAACTTAGCATTTTCTATTATCCTGCATTTTCTCTATTTTTTCATTAGTTAAAAGCGTCACTCGTCATGAGGAAGATCACATAAGATTTCCAGGATTGATTCGACAGATGGAAAATTCACAAGAAGCAGCGATGGGGTAGTGGAGGGGGTGTTTATGGAAAGTGCAAATAATTCGAATATAATGTTTTGTAACAATGTTGTCTTTTAATAGTCACATCTTCTGTATATCTCTGAAGAATATGATTTTCGGGTGTTCCATAAGAAACACCCTTACGACGCATTTCCTTGAATTCTTATAAAAAAGACGAGGAAAAGAAATTAATGTAATATCGATAGTTCTGACGATTCCCATTCAACTCATTCTTTTTTAATGCTGAAGTTCAACAGGCATCAATTTTTCTTTAGTGTCTCATTAGATATCGGAATTTTTTTGACTCTAAAATATCAATTTGTGACTCCTAGTGTGTGTAACATCATTTCAAGGGCAAGGATTATGGAACATTTTCTAATTAAATGTTTAGTGAAAAAACATGTAAAGTGCCTTGGCGTTTTTAAGAAATCAATTGTGAGGAAGTATAGCATATTTACAACCTAAAGAATTTTTTGATTTCAGAAATTACTTGGCATATTTTTCTATTAAGCCTTTCAGTCTAATAATGAAATTCCAAATATTCAGGAAGTAAATTGAGACAAAAAGCTTTGAAATTCATGAATTTACATAACTCTTCAGAAGGTTTTATGACGGGTATTTTATGCGGCTATGAAGCAGGTGCTTTAGTCAGAAATTCTTTATATTATGTAGAAGATGTAATTATATCAGGTCATTTTTGTATTGAATTATCATGATCCTACATTAATATGTGTGCATAATATTCGGAGTGTTATCTAATAACCTCCTTTCATAGACATATATACTATCCTTTAAAGAAATGAAGACAAGGAAAAACATACACGTTGGTGGTTGCAATTATATATTTAAGCGTGGAAAAAGCTAAATATCGAAGATTCATATAAACCTATTATAGAAGATTTATGTAAACCTACTATCGAAGATTCACATAAACCTGTTATTCTATAGGAGGAAGATTTAAAAATTCTGATGAAAGAGAAGGTGCATATTCTTCAGGTCTAGCAAGTTCTTATTCTGCGGGAGGAAGAGGAAGTGCATATTCTTCCGAGGGAGAAACGTCTCATTCTTCAGGTAGAGGAAATTCTCAATCGGCAGGTGGTTCTTATTCCTTAAGTAATCGAAGTTCTAATTCTGAAGTTCTTGAACTTAAACATTCTGCAGGTGAGAGAAGATCTTATGTTTCAAGTAGTGGAAATGTTTTTTCTGCAGGAGAAGGACCTAAATATTTAGGAGTTGGAGAAAGTGCACATTCCCCAGACAGTAGAAATCCTTATTTTGCAAATGGGGGAAGTGTTTTTTCTGCAGACGGAGGAAATGCATATGTTGCTGCGGATGGAGGGATTGCAAATTCTGCAGGTGGTAGAAGTGTTTACTCTGCAGAGCGAGGATCTAAACATTCTGCGAGTGAAGGAAGTGCATATTCTGAAGGACTAGGATCTAAATATCCTGCACGTGAGGGAAGTTCTTATTCTTCAAGTAGTGGAAATGCTTTCTCTGGAGGAGAAGGATCTAAATATTCTGCAGTTGGAGAAAGTGCAAATTCCGCAGATAATAGAAATCCTTATTTCGCCAGTGGTGGAAGTGCACATTTTCTAGGTGGTTTAGGTGCTTCTTCTGCAGATGGAGGAAATGCATATGTTGTGGATGGAGGAAGTGCAAACTCTGCAGGTGGAGGAAGTGCTTATTCTGAAGAACTGGGATCTAAATATCCTTCGAGTAAGGGAAGTGCATATTCTGAAGAACTAGGAGCTAAATATCCTACACGTGAGGGAACTTCGTTCTCTTCAAATAGTGGAAATGCTGTCTCTGCAGGAAGAACTAAGTATTCTGGAGTTGGAGAAAGAGTATATTCCGTAGATAGTAGGAGTCCTCATTCTGCAAGTGATGGAAGTGCTTTTTCTCCAGGTGATGGAAGTGCTCATTCTGCAGATGGAAGAAATGCTTATTCTACGAGTGGAGGAAATGCAGATTCTCTCGGTGGTAATATTGCTGATTCTGCAGAGCGAGGATCTAAATATGCAGCGGGTGAAAGAAGTCCATATTCTGAAATAATAGGATCTAAATATCCTGCACGCGAGGGAATTTCTTACTCTTCCAGTAGTGGAAATGCTTTATCTGCGGGAAGTAGAACTGAATATTCTGGAGTTGGAGAAAGTAAATATTCCGCTGATAGTAGAAGTCCTCATTTTGAAAGCGGTAGAAGTGCTTATTCTCCAGGTGGTGGAAGCACTTATTCTGCAGATGGAAGAAATGCTGATTCGTCGAGTGGAGAAAGAGCAGATTCTTCAGGTGGTAGTAGTGCTTATTCTGAAGAGCGAGGATCTAAATATTCTGCGGATGAAAGAAGTGCATATTCTGATGGATTTGGATCAAAATATTCTGAACATGAGGGAAGTTCTCATTCTTCAAGCAGTGGAAATGTTTTCTCTGCAGGAAGAGGATCTGAATATTCCGGAGTTGGAGAAAGTGCATATTCCGCAGATAATAGAAGTCCTTATTTTGCACGTGATGGAAGTGTTCATTCTTCAGGTGGAAGAAGTGTTTCTTCTGCACACGGAGAAAATGCATATGTTTCGAGTGGAAGAAGTGCAGACTCTGAAGGACTAAGATCTAAATATTCTCCACGTGAGAAAAGTTCTTACTCGTCAAGTAGAGGAAATACTTTCTCTGCAGAAAGAGGATCTAAATATGCTGGAATTGGAGGAAATCCTTATTCCCCAGATAAAAGCCCTTATTCTGTGGATGGTGGAAGTGCATATTCTGCGGGTGAAGGAAATGCATATTCTGCAGGTGATGGAAAAGCCTATTCTGCAGTTGGAAGAAGTGCATATTCTGCAGATGCAGAAGGTCATGGAGGTGGAACTTCGTATGCTTTAGAAGAAAATGGTTCTGAAACAGCTGTAGGAGTTGGATTTGGAGAAACAGAAGGAGATGGTTCTGGAGCTGCAAGATTAAATGGTATTTTAGTACCAGGATTACTTGGCACTGCTGCAGATAAAAGTGGTATTTTTAGCGGTAGAAGTGCTTCTGGAGCAACTCGAGTAGATTTGGCAGTGACCGCAAGGAAAAAGGGAGGTAATTATGTGGATTTAGGAAATGATATTGCTGCGAGAGAAAGTGATTTTGAAGCAATAAATGGTCGTAGTTCTCCATCAGCAAGAGGAGGTAGTTATGAGGAAATGTTAGTGGGTGGAGGTGATTATAAAGTAGCGTCTGTAGGTGGTATGCCTGCAGATGAAAGTGCGTATGCAGCAGCTAGTAGAGGTAGATACACAGAAGCAGGGGAAATAAATGCTGGAGGTATGTAAATAACTTTCACCAATATGCATTTTAAATACCTAAAAATATGTATCACTCAAAATATTTGAAAGATGTTTAAAGTTTTAATTTTGAGCAAATTCAATTATTCCTTACCGCCTCACTTTTCGATTTCTACTTTTAAAAAACATTTTATAATTAAGACTTTTTAATGTATATTTATAGAATTCTGGTTATTAATTAAGAAAAATAATATGCATACTAGGGGGCTCTAGTAAATATTTGAAAATATTAAAGTACTTTATCAAAACCTGACATAAAAGACAAGATTAAAAACAACAAAACGTGTTTGATTGCCAGAGGTTTAGTGATTTGTTTGTATATAAGATAATGAGAAAAGATCAAAAGCCACTATCAGCAACACCACCTCAAGCAATTCAGCTAATTTTGATGTTTTTAATCTCAACTTACTTAATTGTGATGCGTCAGGTTTTGATGGAGTTTTATATGGCAGAAACTTTGCAATTCTTATGCAATTTCAGAACATTATTTATGTCTAGAGTTCTGAAAACTTATATTGCAGAACATCCAGTAGATACATTCATTTCATTGGTTTTAGTTTTGTTTTCAATACAAAATGAATTCATTTGAGAATTTTATAACAAGAAAAACCATTTAGTTTTTCACCTATTTAGCTTTGCAAGATATAAAAAAATAGAATTAAAAATTTAAAAACAGCGTTTTTCAAGTAGACAGGAAAGAAGATATTACATTTTAGTAGATGCAAGTTTGTTTTTCTTTGAAAACAAAAACGTGAGTCAAAACAATTTTGGAAGAAAACGAAGAGTTCTTATTTATTACAGAATTTTATTGCGAAAAAGAAAGATTATTTGATAAAATGTTGAAAAATATGATAAAATGGTGAAAAATTTGATTACTGTTCAGGACTTAAAAGTAACTGTAACGCAAAAGGTGCACGAAGATTCAAGTAAACACACGCACCACATGATCATCACACACAAAGATCCATATGAAATTTAAATACTTTTGTTAGAGAAAGTGTACGAATTTTCTATCGATGATAACTATTTCGTGATAAAATGGTGACACTATTTGTAGAATTATGAAAATTAATCTAACTTGTAATGTCATCGAGCTTAAAGCTACAGTTAAAATTTAAACACTCTATTTCGAGAATACTCTGTAGTCGAAATTTTTGACCATAAATTTTGATGACATGACAATAAATTGTTTCTTGTAGCGATCTGATAAAATTTTAGTTTTTTATTGTCACTTAATAGAGTACTTGGTAAAAGTTACGAAATTTTATAGTTATTTCAAAGCTACAATACAAAAATTTTACGTGAGAAAAAGTCAATTAAAAGATGATTCAATAAAAAGATGATTCAATGAAAGATGCTGGAATATTAACGATTGAGTAATGCGAAAAAAGTTGACAATACGAGTATCTTCCGTCTTGCTAGAAGAAGAAGTGAAAAAAAAATCGTCTAACTCCTTTGGTATGAAGCTCCTCACGGGGGATAAAGCCATTAGAAAACCTGCAAAATATAAAAACAAAGCTTTATCTCTTACTCCATTGCACAGTAAATACTTACATATACATATATGTATATGAGTATATGTGTGTGTATATGTATATATGTATATACATGTATATATGTATATATATATGTATATATATATGCATATATATATATGTATATATATATGTATTTATATATATGTACATATATATATATATGTATATATATATGTATATGTATATATATATGTATGTATATATATGTATATATATATATTTATATATGTATATATATATANTCATCGGCAAGATCATTTCGTCGACGGGATCATTTCATTGACAAGGCCATTTCGTTGACAAAGAAAAGGTTATTTCGTAGGCAAAGTCATGCGTAATTTTGAAACTAGTTTTATGATTTTTTTTTACGTTAAACGTTATCCCTTGCACTTCTTTGTTAAGCAGCTAATCCTCTTCTTTACAGAGCATGGCCCCTTTAAAGCGTATCTAAAGCGATTCTGCCTGGCAACTGACAATACATGTGCCTGTGGAGGAGTAGGAACAGTGTGGCATTATGCAATAGAATGTCCGCTTACCACATCCTACCACTTTAAACAACCGAAGCTAGAATTCCTCATAGCCTGGAAGAGATCCATCTGTGAGAATGCAAAGTTGAAACAGAAGGCAACCAACCTCATTAATTTTCTAGAAGAATACGAGGAAATCCTGAAATAATTTTCCTGAAAAAATGACAAAATTATGCAATATTGAGCAACAACCACAACTAAACTTGGCCAATTAGCTCTGGATATTTTTTAATCAAATGCCCTAACAAATAGAATAATCGCTTCTTTTTTTTCATATTTCTTTTTATTTTCTTCTCTTTTTTGTTTCTATTTGCTATTTTTTCCTCTCTTTTTTCTATCTGTCTCGTCTTCCAACCTTAACCATTAACCGATAAATGCCCTTTTAGGGGCATAGGCGCGTGGTTAAATGTTGGTGTGTGTGTATATATATATGTATATATGTATATGTATATATATATAACAAAGAAAAAGATTAAACAAATTGAGCTACAATTGGAATTAAATAAAAGTTTAAAAGTAAACTATTCATTTTATAGGATACCTGCAAGTGATGAAATATGGGTATCTGGATCCTGATTGGTTGTTGAAACGTGGCATTTGTTTATGTTAATAACTGTTCTTTCCATTATCTACCGAGTTAGCGAAGTCGGCCAATCATCAATTTTCTTAAATGATACATTCTATATTTCTATACATAGATTTTTCACAATGATTTCAATTCTTTCACTATGTACTTCTTACTTAATTCAAAGACAGGCACGAAGCCATGTTGAACATAAAAAAACTAATTATGCATGGAAGTTGTCAGGTACACAAAAAAATATATATCACAGTTACAATAAAATACATAAGCAAATAATAAATCTAAAGTAAAGGACGTAGAAGAGAAAGAATTATATTTCAATAAATTTGATGTGTGGTACGGCACTGTGCTTAATTAACGTCACGCTAATTAACATTCTAACTTAAGTGGAGAAGCTTCGCTCGAACTTAACACTTGCTTATAAACGATCAGCAAGTGCTGACGTCATAGCTCACGTGTGGGGATATGCATGGTCCTCTTCTTGAAGTGCAAGGACCCAATTAAAGAATTATAAATTTTTGTTTTAGTTATTCTTATTTATTTACACAGGTTCAATTATAGTTTACAGTCACGAGTCAGTTTTTATTGATGCTTCGCTGTTACTAATGTGGAAGATAATAAATAAAACAATGCAATGTCTGTTACAGATTAAATACGTAATATTTTATGAAGGGATAATTGAAATAGTGGTTCCGGATCTTCATAATAATGATAATAGGATGTGCTGAAATAGTAAGAAATTGTAATTGGATATTTAAATGATCAGGTTAGGATTATGAAGGTTATGTGTGTAGCATGTGATAAGATTCTTTTTCAAAAAATATCTGTTTTTCATGATGCAGGAGCTTATGGTTCAAGAAGTGCTGGAATTAATGATGCAAGAAGTGCAGGAACGTCTGGTACAGGAGCCTATGATGTAAGAGGTGCAAATGGCTATCGTGTAAGAGGTGCCAGTGGTTATGGTAATGGAGATGCAGAGAGCTATGATACTGGAGATGCAGATGGCTACGGTACTGGTGGTGGCGGTGGTTATGAAGCAGGTGGTTATAGCGCAGGAGACTTTGCAGGTGGCTATGGTAAAGAATTTTTTAAAGTGATTGATTCTGTTAACAAATGTTTTGATTGTTGTAACTTATGTCTTAATATCAATTATCTAATTAAGATGTTGTAACAAATTTCTTATTTTCACTTTAGCGAATACCTGGTAGGTAATGAGCAGATTATTTAAGGGCGTTTACCAATTATCTAGGTAACTTGAGAAAAGAATTTAATAAAATCGTCACTTTAACGGATAACCCTAGTTTATCTGTTAAAACCAGTCTGCTCATTATCCTACACTTAACCCTACCATGCACTTGAACCCTAGTCTGCTCATCAGCTAGGTAATTTGTATAATTGATTTCTTACACTTTAGCAGCAACATGTATATTGTTGAAATATGGGGGACATTTCTTTTCGCTTTGGGAACAAAAAATTTAAAATTGAAATATTAACAGTTAAGAGTATAAATGCTTTAATATACATGCTTTCAGATTTCTGAATGAATTTTCATTTTTGCGTCAGCGATGGAAAACCAAAGCAAACTGAGTTACAAAATGGTATCAAATGAAAGGTTAAAAAGAATAATTAACTTAAACTTAAACGAACGTTCTAATTCTATATTTTCGTTTTGTTTTAGTCATGCTTATTTACTCACGGAGGTTTAGTGATAGTTTAAAGCTACTATATATATAGGGT